GCTGACTTGGGGACGCCTGGGGCAGAGCAGCTGGGGTGCTGCTGGGTTGGTCCATTAGCGCTAAGGAGCGGTCCAGTAGCGCCAAGGGAGACGCTGAGCAAAGCCGCGGAGGACCCGGGCGGGACCGCGGTGCTGATCTGGAAGCCCAGCAGACCAGGGAGACGCGGAGCAGCTTTTCTCGCCCCAGAGGACGCGGGCGGCGGGACCGTGGTGCGTCTGGGCAGTCCTGCCACCTGCGTCCTCCGGGGCGAGAAAAGCCCCGTTCGTAAGTACGGATCCGACATAAGTAACCTGGGGACTGCCTGTATTGTAAAAAAGTAAAAGTCACACTACATGTGCTGGATATACAAGAAAAAAAATCTAAAAATTTATCATAATATGATTTGTATTTAAAAATGAATTGCCCTATTAAGGAATATAGACATTAGAATAAATATGACGTTATCTGTAGTAAGTGTATTGAATTAGATTGTTTCTGGTCACTATGTCCTTCAAGCTGTCAGAACTAGTAAACCTTATCCCTCTCACCTATTTTTTATTTCTAAACTGGAAGAGGAAGACAAGCTTTCTTGCATTTTCAACTTCCAATTGCTTTCAACTTTGAATGAATTGTTCATTGAACTGCAGTAATTCAACATACAAAAATGAAGAAAATATTTCTCTGTATGTGCAGAAGCATATACTGCTGTCAAAATCTGGTTTGGCATGCCAAACATACTATAGCTCCAGATATTTAGCTACTGACTTCCACCAGTTCAATAGCTGACTATATTTAAAACTGACAGCAAATGCACTACTTAACGTTATTTTTGTATGTAATTTTAAGGATGAATAGATTGTAGTAATTATAGGACTTAGACATGTCATTAATTCAAATTTAATTTTAAACAAGTTTGTGAAAATTAAACCTATATTTAAATATAAGCTAACTTAAATAAAAACAATTTTATACGTCACTGATTTTTATCCATTCTGTTTACTGTACAGGAAATTATCATGAATTGGTCTCATTTGTTATAGTCACCAGGAGACTTTTCAGAGAGTACAAAATAAAAACCCTAATACATGCACTTTCTGTTAATAACGTATCAAGAATAACTGTCCTTTATCTCCAAAGCATCTGGGATCTTCAACAGAAAAGAAACTGAAGAGCTGCTCCTAATAAAATGTTTTCTTTTAAAAGGCCACTTACTTCCCTGATTGTAAGAATGACTCAGTCAATCTGCTGTTGGAGAAGAAGAATGTTGATCTGTGGGTACATCTTCTGCAGGTAGTTAAGATATGAGCATTCATAGGTAGACTAATCAGGGCCTATTTTGAAGTATACGAATTTTACTAGACCAGTGATAAATTTCTTCAATGCTCTTAGACCAACAACATCACTTAACCATAGACAGAGAAGTTTCAACACAGATCATTTCCCCAAATATCAATTTGTTTTAAGAGTCTCAAGATGAGGAACTTAGCTATCAGTCTCAACTGGGATAAAGCACTCACCTCCAAACATCACTTCCTTTAGAAAACACAGATGACTTGATAACTTCAGGTGCCATCCATGCATAGGTGCCTGCTGCACTCATTTTGGTTGTTCTATGCCATTCCCTAGCCAAGCCAAAGTCTGTAATCTTCAAAGTTTTATTACCAATGTCATCACGTTCTATCTTCTGAAGTAACAAAACTGCAGAAAAACAAAGTTTGAATTTAAGAATATTTCCATGTAGCAAAAAGTATGTTTATATTTTAAATAAAAATGTTAAAATATTAACTAATATTGCATTAATATAAGTGACCAGAAATGAGGAAATTTCAGTTTTGATTCCCACAGCCCCTTACATCTATGAATTAACAGTTTAATCTACAGTATACTGTGCATGATTCACATCTTAGAATTTCTTGACTTGTATTTAAAACCATAGCAATAGTGCTTCATTAACAGATTAGGAATATAGCTTCCTTTATTAAAGGAGGCAGAGAAAAGCATGATTATCATCATGTGTTCTAACTCACACGGGGAGATCCAGATCTATACCACAACGGAATCATATCTTGTGAGCTTCCTCATCACAAAATTTTCAATCAATGTCCAGTTTCTACAATCCCTGTCTACAATTGGAAGTGTTATTTTAGCATTCATGATACCTGTAACTTAACCTTTGATCCATGTAAGAATAATTAGGGCATACATGTTTTCTAGCAATGTAAGCTGCAAAGCAAGAAACAAGGTAACCAAATGAGTAAAATGTAAACAGATTCTGGAACTAGGTGTGCTGCCATTGCATCTCCTGACTCGATGTGGTTCCCATTGTATATACGGTTTACGGTTGGGCTCAATAGCTCTCAGCAGCCTCACTGTAAAAATTGTTCCAGCATCCCTGCCTGTAAATTAAGAATTATCATGCTTTTATGAGAAATCTGTTTCAGCAAGAATCTGAACTGATGACCTTGCATTTGTATTAACTGATCACTGTGTTAGTCTGGGGCAGTAAAATAAGAAGTGGCTAATGATATTTCAGAATTCTGTCTTAAAACTTAGAGGTAAAATACTCAAACAAATAGGTCACTTTCAATAAGCTTCTTACCTATACTCTAGAGGAGACACCAAGCCTAACATTTATGTACAGGCTTAGATCTCAACAGTCAGTACTAAGAGAACCAAGTTAAAATAATTCAGAGTGATATGCTGTTAGTCTTTGAATGAAAGGCCTATTGTTTTCAATCACATTTCAAATGAGTTCAGTAGAATTCCTGAAATTCCTAGTTAGTCAGTGAAACCAAAACTAAAAATAGTGAATCATGCACAAATTAATAATTGTAATATGGCCAGGTTTCATTCTACAAATGGACAAAGGCTTATTAGAGCACTTCAAACTTCTGTTTCCTGTTGGTAGTCAGGAAGAACTATATTCTTGTACATAGAGGAAGAACTATATTCTTGTGTGTACACGCACACACACCCCCACACACACCCCTACATCCCCCCCCCCCCCCCCCACCTGGGACAAAA